TCTTATCTTTAACATTTGTTTCCGAAAAGCATTTTCCACTTTATAAACATTTTTTTAGCACACCACTTGTTTCATCATTGTTATAAACTGTTTTAAACTGATTTAAAGTTAAATTTTGGTGTAATACTGATTAAAGTTTCAGTACCTTCTACCATTGTTTGTCAACTGGAACGCCAGGGAACCTCATGCATATTCAAACCACTGTCCAATTAGAGAGAAGTGTGGATGATAGCCAAGTGAGAAGCCCCGTTAACTCCCAAACCTCAAGTGAAGGAATTAATAGCCCTAAAGAAATTTTATTGATGTAAAAATCGTTAGATCAATAATTGGACAAACTGTACAAAGTTCAAAAATCCAGTTGATGATTGTATGCTAGGCAATGTCATGCTAAGCAAAGACCCGCTAAACGCAAAGCAAGCTAAAGCTTTTAAATCTGTCCACAATTACCCAAATAAACAGTGTGTTAGAGAGATATTGTGCCGTGTTGATGTTGATAAACACTGTAGATACTGATAGGCTTTGCCAATCGCCGATTGGCTGTTGGCTCCCGTCAGTCATCCATCACAGGCGAACGTGATTGGCGAATGCACTTGCAACACTTTTCTAACAAACGACCGAAATTAGTGCCAAAAATATCCGTGCATAAACTATCTGCAGGATTAGACTGAGAAATTAGTAAAATAAAATTTTATAAAACATTGTTCTTTTTTTTTTTCAAAAAAAATTATAGAATACTTATGTTTGTTGGGTTAGAAGTGAACTTTAATGTTGGTGAAGACGAGAGCGGAAACCCAGCCTTTGCGCTACATATTCAGACTGTTATGCTAACCTCGTGTACTGTACGTGTTCAATCTGTTTACACTGTGTCTATACCCTCTCTAATGAAACCAGTGCTGTGTAACTAACATTGAGATCCAGTGCAATTACAAATGGAGCTCCTGCAGGGAGTGTGGATGTGTTGAGTGGGCTCTCACACGCTCTGTATTGTCTTTCTCTTCAGGTTGTGTCATATCCCGCGTTTGTATGTTGGCTTCTTCATATATTCTCACTGTTTAACTGTCTTCCCCGTCCTCCTCCTCCTCTTCCTCGCGGTGTGTGTGTATGTTGTGTGTATTGTTATGTGATGTCCCCTGTTGTGTTTTCAGCGTGTTCAGTTCCTCACTCTACCAGTGACCTCCGACCCCGGCGCCACGTGAGTCAAAGCACAGGCTTAAAGTCATTCTCGTAGAAGACAAACTGTAGGTGTGTGCTGCTGGTTCCAGTCAGGGTCGAAGGTCAGGGGTCGATTCGAGGTCAAGGTGAATTCGCACTGGTTCTTGATTCTGTGCTGCAAACACAATAAGAGCAGGATTCTCTTGTGAAAAAATTTTTAATTCACACAATTTTAATATGGATACATGTGAGGAGTTTGCTTCTAAAACGCGATAAACGCCATTTGTAAAAAGCCAAATCTGAAAGGTATTGCGTTCATTTTTGACAAGCCAATAATCAATTTTCCCAAAAAAAACAAAAACAAAATGTAGCTACCCTTCAGTTTCTCAAATAAACACGGGACACAGAGTGTTTCCAACGGGTGCCCTTTTTTATTTTTTTGTTGTGCATCGCACGTTTTCAGCCTTTCCCGTCCGCCGTGCACCTATGCACCGTGAAACTATAACAGAGAAACAATAACACCAAATAAATACAACTTACACATACAATAAACAATCAATCCACACATTTACAAACAACTCAACAAATAAACATACCTGAAGGGTACTTAATTAAACGTGAACCTGGTCTTGTGATCACGTCAGTACAGTTGACAGATTACGGTGGTTCTAACTCAAGCGGGCTGATGGCATGCCTTATAAATGATCAAAAACTCCACCCATACAAAAAACCCACAGCACCTCCCAGTGGTCACTTACACAATACTTGCCTTGTCATGCAGTCCTGGTTTGTCTGTTTTTTACGCCAATCAAAACGCTATAACTTCATTCAACAAAGAACTTAAAGAAAATGAGGTTCTGTGGGGGTGGAAAAATGGCGGATGTAAACCTGCAGCAAAAGTTTTGTATCGTTTTATAATCACTCCACAAAGGCGGTGACTGGGGGGCCAAAGGAGAGACTGTGGGACGCGGGTGACTTGAGCAGGCAGCGGATAACTCCAGAGTCTAATATCTGCCAGTGGGTTCTGACACTGTATAAACCAGGGGTGTCAAACTCATTTCAGCTCGGGGGCTGCATGGCTCCAGATTAATCATATGTATAAATATACGGTAAGTAACAAAATATAAAATAAAAAAAATAAAAACAAAATATTAAATATATCTTAAATCCACTGCAATGGACTGGCACCAGCAGACCCCCGTGACCCCGAAAGGGATTAAACAGGAAGGAAAATGAATGAAAATGAATAAAATCCATTGATTACTTTATCATTCATTAATATATCTTCTTTTTTTTAGCAAAAAAAATTATTATGTTAACATTTTGATGAACGGTAATTTTCACAAAGCTGTCAAATTTTACCATTATATTTTTCAGTTTATAACGTGCTTTCTGTTCATTTCATACTTCATATTGAAACTCTTTGCACAGCTCTGAGCTCATTTTTGAAGGAATAAAACAACATTACACTGCAGTTTAAAACAAACAGAAAAGAAATGACCGAATCTGTTTATTTAATGTTTTTTTCCACACAAAATCTGCCTCCGATTTAAGGCGCAGAAGAACTAGCTTTAGCTTTGTGATGAACATTCAACCTCAGAAAGTTTCCACTTCCATCAACACGACATTATTACACCAGAGGCACGTAGTGACGACTGCCGGCTGCGCTGCTCACTGGGCGAGTTCTTCCACGAAACAAAATATACCCGTCAGATTTGCCGCGATATGGAGATGCACATGGTCAAATACTTTATTTACAGAATAATGTTAATTTAAATGTTACTTTGTAATGCTGCTCACAGTGCCCCCCCTCCTTTTCTTTCTCGCTCTCCAAAATCATCCCACGAGCCGGATTGGACCAACTAATGGTTTGACACCTCTGGTTTAACCTATCTATTCTGGTACCAGCCACTCGATACAATATCAATGTTGTTTGTTTTTTATAGCCTTTTGTAAAGAAAAAAGTGCCATCTCATTTTCGGAAAAAACTTTAACTATTACAATCTTGATTTGAAATGTTTATGTATCTATGACTTTGAGATGTTTTATGACATAAATTTAGAAAATAAATTTAGATTTTCCTCAAACCCCTTTTGTGCTGAAGAAAACACATTTACTCAAATTCATCAAAATGGAGTTATGGCGTTTTGGAAAAAAAAAAAACTCTTCAGGTATTCAATGCCATACTGAATAGATGAACAGAACTAAATGGGATTGATACAATTGGTGGGTTTTATAAAGCTATTTTAAATTATATTACTTTTGAATCAGTTTTATTGAAATGCAAGACCATGTTTACAGTGTACCCTGTATTTGGTTTAACTTTAATATTTATTTAATTTTCTAATTACACAACTGGGCTCATGAAAGATCCCAACCGGTCACCTTTTAAATTTAGTTAACTGCTTCAAAATTGTACTTTTGCACAAATTGAATGAAAGCAAAGATGGATTCCCAAGCTTGCGTTATTGTACAGCACAGACTGAGGAATCCGCTTCAAATGTGCTTCAGTTCCTAGTGTAGCTGGAACCTGTGTGTGTGACTGTGTATAACTGACTGACTGATCGACAGACGGAGGGTGGGATTGCTGGACAGACTCACAGACAGACTGATGTAGAGCAGGTAAGGAGTTTACGGCTTGCGCCGTAGCTCTCAAAAGTCCGTCCCACCTTTCTGTTTCAGCAAGACAAAGACTACTGTGACGCTAGTCTCGCTTTTACTTTAACATCCAGGTTTTGTGTTGGACACTAAAGCACCCATTTTAGGTGGTTATAAAACATTTTCACTCTTATATACTCATATATACTCAATCAAGACCTTTTGGGCTTCAAACTGATTTTCACTTGTAAAGAGAAGAGTGCATTATCATTCCTTGACGTTAGATGGTGCTGAATGAGAAAAATGAATGTCCTCCATTCCACATGGTGGCACTGTGCACCTGTACGTATGACACTTTGTTTAGGCAATCGGCTGTATCTAAAGTGGACCAAAATTCTATGGACCTCAAACTGGGAACCTCAAACCTCAGCGGTCGCCATATTGGAATAATTAATTCAAAATGTGCAAAAGGTTAATTTCTTTGGTGGAGCTTTTTAACTATAGATATGTATACATAGATACCTCATAACACCCTGTCACATATGTCATTGTTGTCCCATCTTGTTACCCACTGCGCCACCCTGCCGCCCTGTATTATTAATTCATTACCCGTTATTCCCTTTCGGTGTCACGGGGGTCTGCCGGTGGCGATCTCCAGCGCACATTGGGGAAGAGGTTGGGGTACACCCTGGACAGATCACCAGTCCATCGCAGATATTAAATGTTATGTTATGTTATGTTATGTTATGTTATGTTATGTTATGTTATGTTATGTTATGTTATGTTATGTTATGTTATGTTATGTTTTGTTATGTTTTGTTTTGTTTTGTTTTGTTTTGTTTTGTTTTGTTATGTTATGTTAGATCTAATGCTATTTATTTATATTTTATGTACATTTTCAAATTCCAGTATTGCTTTTGATGTCAAGTATATGTATGCATGTTGGAGTTTGTGTTAAGTTTACATTAAATGAGTAAAATAACACTATATTTTAAAACTATTGGCAGAACATTAAGCAAGTTGGTTATTTTATTCGCTGGTAGATCTTAGCTTCCATTGACGCATTGGTCTAACGGGTCACCCTGTTTCTCAAGGTATCTACGTATAAATATCTATGTTTTAACTGTCAGTGGAAACCTAACTTCTGCAGTCAGCCTCAAGTGGTCATTCGATGAACTACAGGATCTTCCACTTCCTGTTATGCAACAAGAAAGAAGGCTGTTGCTTGGTTTAAACAGTATATATGTTATTTTCCTTTGGCTCAGTTGGTAGAGCATTGTGGTAGAGCATTGTGGTAGAGCATTGTGGTTTAAAGGTCGTAGGTTTAAATCCCAGGGAAAGCAGGAACTGACAAAAATAGTATTCATTCAAAATGTAAGTTGCTTTGGATAAAAGCGTCTGCCAAATGCATAAATATGTGGACCACTGAATAGAGCTTGAGTTCTTTCAGCCATTTGAGAAGGGTCAGAGTGCAGGTGAGGAAAATGTGAATGTGAATAAACTACGATGGAAATGCATTTACCGAATAAATCCCAGCGTTTGCATGAAAACAGTCATGTGATTTTGGGACTTGTTGGAACTGGGGCGCTATGAGGCGGCATTAATGGATTAACTAACAGAGCGATTTTATTACACAACATCTGAAATGTTGTTTTGGTCATTCTAAAAATCTTTAACCAAAGTCTGTCATCAAAGTAGTTCGGGATCATCACCTCCCTGAACTGTCTTGCCCGGCTGCATTCGCAAAGAGCAGTCTCCCGCCTCCAAAGGATCTGCTACATCGTTTGCGATATGTGCTTGCAGAGACCATTTTGTGCTTGACCACCACTCTGTTTTCTAAAACTTTATATCGTATTATGTTTTCAGTCATGTGGCACTAAACTTCAAAGATAAACGCCAGGGATCAAATTCCAGTGTGCATGTGCCATACTTTTAAGACTTTACTTTTATTTGCAATTGAATATACAAACCAAGATAATCGTTTTTTGGGTGATTGTCCGCTTAAAAGGTACCATTTCTACCTCCTTAGACAGTTAGAAAGCAAACTATGGTTTGGAACAGAGCCTAGGTTCCTCATTATACCATGGCAAGACTGTAGACTGGGCACGATGCATTGTGTGTGATGCTCACTGTGCCAGCAGGAGTCGATTGAAGGTCTAAATATACCCCTGTGTTCAGTTCCCATCTGTGGAGGCACACACACTGATATTGCTCTCGGTGTTAAAGTGATCTCTGCTTCCTGTGCAATATAATCCCTAAATGATGTTCACAGTTAGTGGAGAGAGAGTGACCCACTCAGCTCGAAACGCTGTTTGCATGAAGCTGTTTAGTCAAAGGTAGAGCCTAACTCAAGAAACCTATGAGTCAGATTCTCTCTGGTTTTCTGGTCTTGTGTGTTTATCCAAAGTGGTCCATTTTAATTATATATACAGTATATAGATGGAGATTTTCCATTTTCGGTGGCATTTTTCAAGTTTGTCGACATTCACATTTCCATTTCACTGTCGTTTAGTTTTGTTATGTGAAGGTCAAAGGAGTTTTTTCAGGAAGAACAGGACATTTTTCTTAACTAACAGGTGCGCTCCAGTTCTGTCAGGACAACAGCAGGAAGCACCTCTCCATGATAAAACAGGGGCTCCATCAGCTCCAGATTTAGCATCAGAGTTCTCATGAAGCCGTTTTTCAGAACAAATCATGCATGCTCTAATGGAAGTCATTGTAATGAAAATCTGAGCTTTATCTTTAAATTGAGATGGACACTATCAGGTATGGGACAATTTGGGCATTTTAGTTGTATATTTAAAATATATTTTAAAATGAGATTACTTATACAGAAATAAACAAAAAAGAAAATGGAAGATTTAATTGTTTTCATCAATGAACAAAAGAGAAATCAAGTCAGTATTTGGTTTGACCACTCTATGCCTCCCAATTTCTCTGCGTACACTTGCACACTGTCTTTGGAGGAACTCTGCTGGTAGGTTGTTCCAAACATCTTGGGGAACTAACCACAGATCTTCTTTCTGCCTAGCAGACTTTTCACACCTGACTTTTTTTTTAGTTCATTTTCCCCTTTAGTTCTGTTTGTTTATGCAGGTGAGAAAGAACTAATAAATGGACCAAAAGCGGACTAAAAACAGTTGTCCAAGAAATGCTCGAGGAGGTAGTCTCTTTACGGTTCTAAACGAACTCTAAAGTGGTTAATATGTGGGTAAAACGTGATCGAACCCCGATCCAAACTAAAAACGAATGAAGACGACAAAGCATGTTTTTTGAATGAATACAGCCAACTTACTCGTTTGTCTGTTTACAAAGCACCGTTTATCTTGGCATCTTGCGATTAAACTTGGAGTAGTTTATAATCCGAGCATCATTTGTAATATGCATCAAAAAAGATGAACACAAATGACCTAGAAAAGATGCCAAGGGTCAAAATCAAGCAGGGAAGTCTGTCCATTTTGAGCTCGTCGTCCCAATCTTCAGGTGTGGTTTACTTCCGTGTGCGCTTTCATTCTAACCAGTAGAAAAGCAGTGGAGGAAACACGTCGGTGGTATGTGACCAATGAGTGGCCCGTATGATGTCACATGGATATATTTTCAACTAGTGCCAACCAGAGAGATCAGTGTGGTATAAATGATGACTAAATCTGCTTTTTAAGCTCCTCCACTTCATTTTTCCCCATGCTGTAAGTGTTCAGCAGCACGCCCCTCTCTCCGCCCCCACACACTGCACTGCGGTGCTTTAACTGTTTGGTCATTTCTGGCAAAAAGCACTGGCACAGCACCAGTTACTCACTTCCTCTGAGCATCTGATGTGTGTTGTTCAATAATCTGATCACTGTTTACTGAAAATGTTTGCTGAAAACCTTTAAGTTGAAGTTGAAAAACCATCTCTGCATATGTTCACGAGCCGACATCAACAGGAAAACTGCGACAATGTAAAATTCCATTGAACTTTGCAGACGATGAACAAAACACAACAGTGTGCGCCTTATACCTTATGTCTACAACTTTAAACACTGTTACAATAAACTACAAATCGAAACTCTGCGAACGCTATTACTTCGATACTTTTGGTAATATACATGTATTACATAAAAAATAATCTCACCTGAAACTGATATTAATGTAGCTAGTCTCAACAACTTTTTCGATTGAACTCTTCTTGTTAATTTTTTCTTTTTAAATCGTCAAAGGGTTTCATCCTCTTTCATTGTTGTAGGTTTAAAAATACCAGAAACCTGAATTCTGGCATGCCAGCTCACATTGTTCAGAACAGACAAGAAACGCATTCAGACATCCGCATTCAGACAAGTCTAGATTTATCAGATAAGCACATGGTGTGCTGAAAAACAGTAGGTCTTTTGCAGACAATGCAGATTCAGACAGGTTTAAAAACACAAAGAATGTCTGAGAAACAGAAATTTCCTTGTGAAACTAGTCCCGTCCGAATAGAGCTTTTGTTTGGGAGAGTCCTTGTTGATGCACCAAAACTACATTGTGGATTGTTGCTGTGCTCAATGTTGACCAGCAACTGTCTTTTTTAACCTCACATTGGTAGAGTTTGGCTGTTCCTCACCCAGTTTTCCGCCTCCTACACAGCTTCAGTTCATGGGGGACATTGATGATTACACACCTGACTATAACCCTACAAAACCCCTTACTTTGTGCAAGTGTCCCTTTATAAATTAAAGCTGGTTTGAAGGGAGCATGTGAAAGACCAAATGTTGATTTGATTCAGATTTTTCTTTTGTTTACGCATTTAGGAGTTCGTCACCTTTATGAATGAAGTAAGCAGTTGACCCCTTAACAAAACATGGCTTGGAAATTGGTGACAAAACTTTTGGCTCTCTTAGAAATCAGACATTTCCTGTAGGTAGATGCCAGTTTTGCCCATATATTTTCTGTGGTAAAAGGTGTGGAGACTTGCTTTCCTACTCCAGACCTCGGGTTACTGAGTTATTAAGTCACTCCTTTATTGAATTAGTCGTGTGTTTTGCATCGTTGTCACACTAGAAGAAGATTTGATCTACCTATGTCTCTTTGATTTAATGGAGTCCTGTCCTGGAAACCTTGGTAAACTTGGTGGACCTTTAGCAGGGGCATTTCTGAGGTATGTCAGGATTTAAATCCTTCATGGCAAAGTCTGTAAAAAAGTTTATTAGTCACTCCCAACTTGACTCTTTTGATATCATTGAGATGTGCTTCTAAACGGGTTCATGGCATCTCTCATTATCATTAAACTCCATTAGTTCAGATCTTTTGTGGAGCCCCAGACTAAGGGAGATAATTAGGGATAGTCAGACATCTATAACTTTATTGACTGTAATAGACACTTATTTTACGAATATCCTTTTACAACCCTTCAGCAGAAAACATCCTATAGTTTAGCAGGATGCATATTACTTGGGACAGTCTGAGGAAATTAACACCTGGCTCCAATAGTTAAAAAAGTCTCCTTCTCAAGCTACTCATTTCATGTCACACAAATACACACACCTTCCATGTTTGTGTGACGTTGTTAATGTTGCATGTGTGATTGTTTGCATCCCCTGTCCCCAAATATCACAACCTATAACTTTAGAATACTATCTTTTTAATTAAGTAGTTGTTTGTTAAGGCCACTACTATTGTGGTCATAAATATTCTTTTTTTTTCATTTATTTCTCTACCTGCTAACTCCCTTTTTGGGGGCACATGGGTCTGCCGGTGCCTATCTCCAGCGCACATTTGGCGAGAGGCGGGGGTACACCCTGGACAGGTCGCCAGTCCATCACAGGCGGTCATAAATAGATTGTGTAAATGCAATCAGAGATGCCCAAATAATTGCCTCATCAAATTGAATAGTTGAGTCTAAAATTGTGCTCAAGTGACAAACATGTCTTATTTTTCTCTAATATCTAGTTTGACCAACACAAAACAAGTCTGTATTCTGATTTCAGCACATTCCAGCAGTATAAACCCATCATGCTTGTGCTGTTATGGTCTCTAAACTAATCGATAAAGCTTAATTGTGGGTAATGTGAGCTCTCTCCATCTCCCACTGCTCCTTGGTCGATATGTCATGATAACACCGGAAACAGCTGGCATTAACCTAGCTCTTTATTGAATGCAAAACTGTAGATTTATAACATCAAATAATAATGCCTTTTATAAACAAGGGCTTTTTAAATGTACATTTTGTTAGCAATTAAAGCATTCTATGTATTAGAATATGTAAAAGTTATTTATTTATTCAGACTAATTAAAATGTTATGTTTTGTTTCGACTCTTTTAGTGGATGTAAAATCACTTTTGAGATTTGTTGGGGTACAACACATCTAGAGATGTGTCCTTAGTAG